CCCCAAAACCCCAAAACCCCAAAACCCCGCATCTTCAAAAAGAGGAAAATAAATTAGTTATTACTACGATTAAATTAGATATATGGATAATAATTGTGGAAGATATGTAGTTAGCAATAACACTTATGACTCTAACTAAAGATAACTGAAAATCTGCTCTTCAAAGCCTTGATCTTGAAGTAGATTCATCAGAGGATTTTGAATAGTTTATAGCTTGCTTTTAATCATAGCTTTGAGTCAAATCTTCTTCAATACTATCATTAATTACCTTATGCTAACTAGAATATTGTGGGTTCACAATTTGCATTTGTTCATTGAATAGTTTGCTTTAGTCTACCATTTAGTGATTAAAGCACATTTGGGAGCAGTTGGATAAAAATCCACACGGACCCCCTCGACTTAATTGCTAAGATATCATAGAGTCATCTAGGGTGGTATTATTTACCGATGATGCCATAGATGATGTTCTTGAAGCAGACTCACTTTAAGAAGTGCTTACTCTTCTTGCAAATCTCTCATTAGTAGTCTTATTTACGCAGAAATTTCTCAATTATATCAATGTTAGCAGCCTAAACATTTAATAAATTGTTAATAAACTTACATCACTGGCAAAAGGAAAAATGCACTGGTTATTAAATTTATGATTGCTCCAAAGTAGAATAAGTTTTTATTGTAGGTATCTCTTGGAAGTAGAATTAAGAAGTTTTCTGAAATAAGTTCTTCATTAAACTCGTTCAGAGTAACAGAAACTGTGACTAAAACTGAGAGCAAAACTAAGGTTATTGACACCAAAAACATCATGAAAAAGTGATGATTCTTAATACCAACACAGTTATTGACCCAAGGGCAATGATGGTCAAATCTTTCAACGCATCTATTACAAATTGAGCAATGTCTAGACCTTGTAGTCCTGATTACTTCGCAGTCTGGACACAATAATACTGGATCAAAGGTTTATAGCATACTCAGGAATGTTATATTTTATGGTTTCCGAAGGTAGCCTGGATCTACACCCTGACTTAGCATGAAAAATAAGATTGCCATAACAAAGGCTGCTGTAGTTACTATGAACCATATATCAGAACTTGTAACTATTTATCATTATAAACAGAATAATCAAACTTACATGGTAAAACAAAGAGGAACAGTAGAATGTAGTTTATTAGTATTAAGCCAAGGAAAAATGTTGGAGTACTTGCAGATTTTCTCATCAGCTTTAATGGTGTTTTAATCATAAAGCAAGTGCAGCCTTTGGGCTCCTTTAGCATTGATCTTAATTCTTATTATAAGCTAGGGATTGATATTTAATCCACTAAATCAACAGGCTTTCTTCCTTGCTTATCTCTGGCATTTCTAGATGAGCCTCTTATTAATAATGATCTAACAGGTCTAGTGCTTCTTAGTTATTCAACACTCTTTACTGCTAAATGGAGTGGAGTGAAACCCTCAATATCCTATTCATCAAGATCTTTTACCCAGCTTAATAGATAGCAAAGTGCTATTTCAGATCTTGAATAGCAAGCCCAGTGCATTGGCGTGCTGTTCCTATTATCTTTTGAAGTTATGTCTATTCCTTTTTCTTTGAAGTAATACAAAGAAATAGGCTAATCTCCTTAAGCTGCCACATGCAGCACATTAATGCCAAAATTGTTTCTCATATGCATATCAGCACCATTCTCTAACAGTAACTTAATAATGTTAATATTTCCTCTAAAGGAGCCAAAATGAAGAGCAGTGAAACCATCCTCTTCAGTTTTATAGTTGATCCACAGCTTAATCTAAGTTTACGTATATATCTATTGCACCTTTTCCATAAGTGGGTATATTAAATCTTCAATATTTTTGAAACAAATCATGTGTAGAAGAGTGTAACCCCTTGCATCTACTAGATCAATGATTGGAACAGTTTAATTCTGATCTAAAAATCTCATCAAGCCCATTTTATCACGAGTCTCAATCAATTGGAATGCTTTCTCACTCACTTCTCTCATTTTCATCTAATCTTGTCTGCTTTTCTTAATCTTCTTCAATGATTCATAAGCCTATGAATTTTTTTGACTAAATGCACTATCATCCAAGAAAACGTCTGCGTCCTCAGCTCGCATACCACTATTCTAGACTCCAAGACCACTTACGAAAGTATTAGAATCGAATGAGTCCACCTCATTGACAGAAGCGCTTTATTTAAAGCTCTCATGCTTAAAATTTGATTTTTTATGTTGAGTATTTTGGCTAGATTTATTGATGAGAGGCTGATTCAAATCTTAATCTACTGACATAGCATGATTTTTTTTGTTATTCTGGGTGTTAGAATGGACCTTTTAATCACTGCTCTTTGGATCGTATGATATATGATTAGGACTATGTGCCATTATAAACAATAAATATTATAGTTCTTTTCTTAAATCCTATTAACTCTAAATTCTTATATTAAGTTTTTCTGAGCCTTGAGGGGTTTTGGGGTTTTGGGGTTTTGGGGTTTTGGGGTTTTGGGGTTTTGGG